GACGTGAGCAGGTACATCGTCGAACTCGTTATATGCCATCATCACGCCCCGTACTCCGCCAAGTTGCACCGCAGCCCTGAATGGCGTCAAAAGGTCCTGAAAGACTTGGCGGTTTCCATGGCCCATGAAAGGCGCCGCGTTTCGCCCAGCTTGGGGTGACCCGTGAGCAGCAAAGTGCTTCATCACGGGCACTACAGCGTCAGGATCAGACCAAGAGCCATTCTTCGAAAGTCCAGAGCCGTAGGCAACTCCCATATGAGACGTTAGCACCTTATCCTCCCCCCACGCCTCCTGCATCCTTCCCCATCGTGGGTCCTGTCCGATATCCAGCACAGGAGAGAAGCAAGCGTGAATGCCAATAGACCTGGCCTCGGTCCCGATAGCTCGTCCCACGCGGTAGACAATATCCTTGTCCCAACTTGCGGACAAGCCCAGACTCTGAGGGAACATTGACTGCTTGAAGGAACCCACTCCGTGGAGACATTCACCGAAGTGCATCAGAGGTACCTTCAGGCGGGCCTTGTCTAGGTTGAGCTGCTGGAGCTGATTGTAGTAGCTCGTGTTGAGCGGGTACCAGTCATGGACATTGCCCACGGGTGAGTCAGGGCTGAACCTCATTGTGAAGTCGTACAGCTCGTCCAGGGAGTTACCACCGACAATGTCGCCGCCGAAAGTCAGGTGAAGCTGCAAGACAAGATCCTCAATGGTCATGTTGGAGACAACGGCATTGATGAATGCGGCCTTGCCCATGGCGGTCCCATGAGCGCCAGATCCCTCGATCCATTCTGTCGCTGGATACGGGTAGGCTAGCACGTGCTGTCCCCTCTGTTGTCCCAGTATGGGCGGTATCAGCGGCAAAGAGAGGGCTAGTAGTCGGACGGTGCACGAGGAAGTCATCATGTTGGAATTGCGATCTCTTTGCCATCCTGGCGCCGGCGAGACAGCTCCCTTACCCCGGGTTTTGTGTCTAAATCAAATCATTGCCGGCATAGCAACGTTACAGTCCTAACCGACTCAGATCGCCGCTGTGATACCGTATCAGTTTGACGAGGCATGTCCTAAGGCTCCAACAAAGGTGGAGTTTAGCGCATTAATCGGTCGGTGGTGCTCTCGTCAGGGTGCAGGACACCTGGGCACGGTGCGGAGAGTTATATAAGGAAGAACGATTGACGTTAAGAGGAATAGGGGTGACATATACCCTACCCCAATGAACGGGGGTTAGGGGTAGCAGTGGCGTTGTACGAGTGGCTGGTGCGTACTAATATGGGAACATCGGCAGCTTTTGACGAGTTCCGGAGGCTTTGCAGTTCGACAACGATCCCCATTCATCTCACCTTCTGACACCAACGACACAATGGCCGGAGTTCAACAGGGGCTAGAAGTAGCTTTCTACTTCTACCCATGTGGACTCTTTGCGACATTGCTTGTGTCCCAGTCCGTTGAGTATTATCGCGACCGGCGTGGAAAACTGCGCCACGATGCGACAGATGAGACCAAGGCCGAGAGCATCCGGCGACTCTACGCGTGGCTGATATGGTTCTTCCAGCTGCTGCTGGTACTTCTACTTGTGTGTACAGCCTCCTTTCACTCAATCAATGAATGATTACCTACAGCTAATCAATTCACGCTCAGGTCGCCAGCACCGTGCTTGTGGTGCGAGAAGCGGTAGCCGGTCACGATGATGACGCCCGCGTCAACTTTCCATTCAGCGCATTTCTGGTAGGTAGTTCGTGGACTTCTACGATCTTTTCAAGCCCATTTCGCAACATTATCGGCTAACAAAACCCCAAGGCGTCTTATGTAGGAGTCTTCCTCTACTTTGGCGCTGGCCTGCTGCCAAACCCTGATGGCCCGTGGTCGCCAACATACCCGCACTGCCATGCATGGATCACGGCTATCCTCCTGGAAGCTGTCATAGTGGCCGTTTTCGCAGCTGAGAGGCGCGCCATTAGGGTACCAAACGAGCTCCTTGATACCTTGTCTAGCTTAGGTTTGGCCAGGATTGTGGCTCTTGGAGTCATGATCGCTCTCCTCATCACTAGGCAATTCAAGCTGAGGTCTACTGTGCCAAAGTCGTCCCCAGAGGAGAGTCAGTCCCTCCTGGAAAATGGCCAAGAAACGACACCGGACTACGGTGCTGCCCATGCCCATGGTCATGGATATGCTCCGCATGCTCACCCTACAGCTTCCAAGCCTGCATCTGGAAAGCCGCCTGGATCTCAAGGTACAGGCTGGCTGGACTACTTCGCAGGTTTCAGGGTCCTCTTTCCATATCTATGGTACGTACAAGTCTTTGTTCGACTCCTGTTCAATCTTTTGTCGTCAATACATACTGACCATCGCCAGGCCGAAAGATTCCCCTCTCTACCAGGCTATAGTGGTAGTCTGCATGGTCCTCCTGGTCTTGCAGCGCATTGTGAACATCCTGGTCCCGGTCCAGCTTGGAGTCCTGGTTGATTCGCTGGGATACGGCAAGATACCATACAAGGAGATCATATTGTACGTCGTCTACCGGGCTCTTCAGGGCAACCAGGGTGCCATCGGTGCTGCACGTTCTGTTCTGTGGATACCTGTGGCGCAGTCCCTCTTCCGACGTCTCTCCTGTGCTGCCTTCGAACATGTTCTCGGCCTATCTCTGGAGTTCCACCTGAGCAAAAGGACCGGTGAGGTCACGAGCGCACTTAGCCGCGGCGCTGCCATGAACACCTTCTTGGAAAACTTTCTGTTCCAAGTATTCCCTATGATATTCGATATCTTTGTTGCTGGTGTCTACTTCTTCGTCGAGTATGATGCGTTCTACACTATCATCGTCTTCTTCATCATGTGGTCTTACATCTTCCTCACGATATACATGGCTAAGTACCGAGCCAAGCAGAGGAGAGACATGGCGACCAAGAACAGAGAGATGGATGCCGTCAAGACAGATGCCATCATGGCGTATGAGACAGTGCAGCACAATTGTGCTGTTGTCCCCGAAACTGAGCGCTTCAATGCTCATGTCAAAATCTACCAAAAGGCGGAGCGTCTGGTTCTCTGGTCCTTGAATGGGATGAACCTCACGCAGAGTTCCATCTTCTCTCTAGGCACTGCCTTGTTGGTTGCTGTTTCTGCGTACAAGATCTCGATCGGCCAGCAGCGAGTCGGCGAGTTTGTGACCTTGATCCTATATTTCACTCAGCTGCAGGCCCCTCTCAACTTCTTTGGCACGTATTATACGATGCTCCAGAACAATCTGATTGAAGCAGAGCGAATGCTTGATCTGGTTGGTTCCCGCTATTCACAACATTCCAGCTCCACGTTGCTAATTTAAACCACAGTTCAAAGAGACTTCAGGCGTTGTAGAAAAGCCCGATGCCATCAAACTGCCTACGCCCCGGGGCGAGGTTGCTTTCAACGACGTCAAATTCTCATACCAGGGCAAGACTAAGGATCCTGCCATCGATGGTGTCAGCTTCACCGTGGCGCCCGGCACGAAGACTGCTATCGTGGGAGAGTCCGGCAGCGGCAAGTCAACCTGTCTGAAGCTGCTCTTTCGCTTCTACGATGTCGATGAGGGCTCCGTCACCGTCGATGGCCATGACATCCGAGACCTCAAGCTCGACAGCTTCCGGAGGAACATCGGCGTGGTTCCGCAGGACACCGTGCTCTTTAATGCAACAATCATGTACAACCTGCTTTACGCCAACCCTCATGCTTCGCAGGCTGATGTCTATGAGGCATGCAAGGCAGCCAACATCCATGATCGCATCTTGGCATTCCCAGATCAATACGAGACCAAGGTCGGAGAGCGTGGTTTGAAGCTGTCTGGAGGCGAACGTCAACGGGTATGGAAGGCACCTTTGAAGTTGTCCGACGCACTTTGAAGCTGGAACCTGACTAACATGATTATGTCGCAGATTGCTATCGCACGAGCAATCCTCAAGGATGCCCGTATCCTGCTCTTAGACGAGGCCACTGCATCTCTAGACTCCCATACGGAGAGGCTTATTCAAGATGCTCTGGAGAGAGTCACCACAGGACGAACGACTATCACGATTGCGTAAGTTTTCCAGGCGCTCAAGAAGCCAAGATCCCACCATTGTGATGTAGTTATTAGGACGCTGACCATCTTGATCCGGGGTAGCCATCGTCTCTCAACCATCACCAACTCGGACCAGATATTGGTGCTCCACAAGGGTAAGATCGTTGAGACTGGCACGCATGTGGAGCTGCTCGCGCGAGGAGGATCCTATCACGCAATGTGGCAGAAGCAGACGACCACGGAGAAGAAGGTGGTGGAAAAGGAGAAGGAGGGTGAGTCGTCAGAAGCGGCATCTCAAAACTGAAGTGAAATGGTGGATATCCCCGCTTGCGCCCGGAGTGGAAGCTTTTTTTCTGGGAAACCAACCGACTGCATGAATGATAAGAACAGACTGGCTTTCTCTCGGTGTCCTCGGCTCAAGACAGCTGGGGAGAGCGTGTAGGTCATGTCTTTTAGAAGAAGTTCAAGTATCATAGCGAGCATGAGGAGCATCTTTCTAAGGGTGCAGAGCGTGCGATTGTTCGGTACGAGTTGCAGAGTGCTCAGCTCCTCAAATGCCAGACTATCAGCAACTATCTCAAATTCCAGCTTTATGTACTCTGCCATTTCGGATGGTTCATGCACTGGAGTCGTTCTAGACTCCTCCAACTGTATGAGTAAATCAAATGTTGACAAGCCCCTAGAGGCACCCTCAAGTATCTCACAGTAACGTTTTCCAGACATCTACACCACTCTCATAGCTCTAAGGAACTTGCTGGTGAGTATCGCCAAGGAGTCCTGCTGTTGATGGTATGATCTTGCCTAGTTCATGGCCCAACACGCTCACCACACGGTTCATATCACCTTTCAAGCGATGTCGTCGAAACAGTGGAGAAGTTTTGAGTCAGCTTGGTCCGTATTGCGAAGATTTCTTGTAGCTCCACATATATCCCCACCATTTTGTGCCAAATCTCAACACCAAACAAGGCGTCTTCAAGACGCCCGGCTAGCTCAATCGGTAGAGCGTGAGACTCTTAATGAGCCTCCCGGTTCTGATATAATCTCAAGGTTGTGGGTTCGACCCCCACGTCGGGCTCAATTCCCGGCGATTATCGCCTCATATTTTTGCTCTTTTTTAGTCTTCAAACATCGGGTTGGTTGATGTTTGTGTTGATGCTTCCGTTTAGCGGTTGGAGTGGTGCGTGGAATGGTAGGAATTAGTGTTGACAAAGACAGTTCGAGATGGCAGTAAAACCTGCCGCAACACTTGATGTCCGCGGCTTCCCGTTCCCATCAAGGATTTGGCTCCGTCATTAGTGATCAAAGCCTGTGTTTGCGCTTTGGTTTGTCTTAGTATTTGTGTCTTAACAAGTTATCTCGAGGAAACAGAGTGTGATGAGGGTTATGGAGAAGCACGTATTCTTGTTTTGTTGGATTATTATCACGACTTTATTTTGGTGGTCAGTATAAAGAGGCAGCACTGAGACAGCCATTTATACTAAGAAGGTTGACTGTGACTTCCAAGGGTTTTTCATCTTCACTCAACTCAGTATCTTGATTTCACAGCCTTTCAGATGGCAGTTCATCAAGATATATATAGCCTGAAGGATCCAATGGTTGGAACATGTGCCTTGTTACCTCCTGTGTTTGCGGGTAGCTGGGTGATTAGCCCTACCTACATAGTATATAGGCAGATGATTTACTTCAAATGTTTCTTGTCCCTTAAGCACAGAAACAGGCCATGAAGTGCTTGCAAACGGGCTCTATGGATGTTCATCTGATGATTACTTGATCTGTAGTCGAATTTCAACAGCTAGTGTAGGCTGGTGTAATGACTTTGGAATTTTCGTTTGCAGTTGTTTATTTATGAACTCTTCTGGGACCCTCGGGGACCCAGCTAATAGGTAAACTCTCAGCCACTCCACTTCGACTTCACTTTTCCTATTCCATATTTGGGCTACTGGAGTGAATCACCTACGGTGTTTTCCCCTATGGTGTTTTTCTCTCCGCTGCCGGGCATACTCTTTCACCCTTCCTTCGACTTCGCTACGCTACGCTTCGTCCCTTGAAATTCTCAACCTCACAAAACCTTTGAGAGCAGGTTATATTGTGGTCGTTACTCTAGGCTTTTCGTCACTCTTTCTACTCTCCAGTATCTGACAATTCCTTCTTGCCGACTACTGACAGTAACATGCTGTTTCTGTCATACATTCTGGCATTTCTCCTCCTCATAGCAGGGGGAGGTGTCTCTGCCAATAAGCTAATTCGACGCGATTCGCTGAACACTACGACTTTGGGGATTAACTGCACAACGTTCCTCTCTACTGGCACCTCAACCCTCTTTGAGGTCTTTGCTACAGTTGTTATTGAGGTCGATCCTATTGTATCCTGGACTCAGCTTATTACTAGCTCTGATGGCCACACCTTCACACAAAGCGTTTCTGTGGGAGTCTACACATCTACGACAACGAAGGGTACCTTCACAGCGACAGAAACTACCAATTCGATACTCGAGATAACCACCACTTTCATCCAATGTGGAACATCGACTACGATGCTGCTATCAGTACCAAGTTATACCATCAGTGTTTCCGAGCCGACAATCTCCACTCCCACAAACAGCGGACCTGTATCCTCGTCAACTCTGTTGTCATACATAACTTCGATTCAAGCGACATCATCGCCAGCTACGTCAGTGTCCTCGGAGTCCTCAGTATCTACTACAAGCTCTGCATTTTCCTCGCCTGTGTCCAGCACTTCGAGCTCTACTTTCCGTTCTAGTGCATCTTTGAGTTTCGGCCAAACGACCCTACCTTCAGCGCCACAAACCACGACTTCCAGCCTGAGTACCAGCACTAGTACCAATACCTCGAGCAACTCTTCGTCAAGCTTTGTATTATCAAGCCCGAGCATTGACACATCAACCACGCCTCAATCATCAGGTACATTTTCTGGAAGTAGTAAAAGCTCTGGTTCCTCGTCGCAGACACTTTTCTCAGCGACTCTTTCCTCCGCAAGCACGTCGTCAATCAGCGCTTCCTCGTTATCATCGAGCTCAAGTACTGCAATATTCACAACTACCTCCTCATCCGGCACAACCTTCTCTGGATCCCTCGGCTTTGGGTCCTCGTCGCAAACTGTTACCTTGGTACCCCCTTCCTCCCCGAGCAGTACTGGCTCTGAAAGCTCTTCAACCACTTCAATATCGGGCTCAAGTGTGACTACCTCAACCACGTCTTTCACAACTGATATAAATTCCGAATCCTCGGGAGCGAGTGCTACATCACAGACAGCTATAACCACAACCATCTCCTCGCTGAGCAGTGCTAGCTCTTTTGGCCGTTCAACTGCATCGATATGGACCTCGGGTACTGCTATATCAACAGCTACTCCCTCAACTAGTACAACTTCTTCCGGGGGCTCAAGCTCAAGTACTATGTCAACATCCCTTTCCTCCACGTCCAGTTCGACCGACACTAGTAGTACGACTATTACTAGCAGTCCACTCACTTCAGCATCTTCTTCATTGATAAGCAGTGATCTAACTCCGGGATCGACAATGATCACATCTTTGACTCTAACAAGCGATTGGGTATCCTTCACACCTGCCAGTGATACCTCAGCTTTGCCTACCACTGGTACGACGACCACCACAACGAGCTCTTCATTGAGCTCATCCGTGTCTCCCACACCCACGGTCAACACCACCGCGCCAATCATTATACCAGTACATAAAGCCAAGATCGACAATGTGGACTATTACCTTCCACCATGTACTGATCCAGATCAAATACTCTGGCGAAGCGACGGGACACTGTTCAACTTGACATGCAGCAATGTCAAGTTCTCCACTGGGGAAGCTTTCGAGTTACCAGAAAAGCTTCCGGATGCCGGATGCCAAAATGTGACGGTCAATGGCACATCAATTTGTTTCTCCATACGCTATCCACGGTTCAAGTCAACATCCGGCTCAGTGACCTGTGGGACAGCCTCTGGTTCACGCCTAGGGTCAAGAGCGACACCGGATGAGATCAAGAACAATCTGACAGCTATTGCCGACGTCCTCGCCTCTGTCAAGGATGCAACGTCAAGCAATGCGAATGTAGGAATTTCTGCTGTTGCTTGTGCAGCCCAGTCAGCCTTCAAGAAAGCGGCAGGCTATTACTTCAACATGGTGCAGCAAGATCTAAGCACCATCCTTTCGGATGTGAACTTCATCATAGAATTCTTCAAGGACATTTTTGGATACGCCCAAAGCATCACAATACCGGTGGACTTATGGATTGATCAGGTCGATGAAACCTTCCAGGAGCTTGCCTGCTTCGTGAACACCCCTGACGGCTTACAGAGCCGCATCTGGAGGACCTTGTCCAAGCACTCTCGCTTACACACTGGTCTCAATACTATTCAGTCCATACAGAATGTCGCCAATGTCAATGCCATCTTGAGGATTATTGAGTTAATCCTCACTACAGTCATCACAGATCTCCACCAACAATACACTAATTGGATCACAAGCTCCGGGACAATAATTGAGGGCTGGACACAAGCATGGCGCCTATGCTCCACGAAATGGGAGATTGACAATCTTGAGCGACCAGAGGACGAGGAACCAGACGATGATGACGAAGACGATTGGCTGCCTCGTTATGCCATCTATGTGACTGAAGGCACAAGCCAGACCCTACTAAAGGGATTGGAGCATGCCCTGGGGGGTGATGGATGGGAATTGTCAGCATCCTCTTACGATGCAAGCTTGCCAAATGGCTATGTGGTGGACCTCAACCCGTTACAAGCGCAACTGCCATCTCTCGTGCCCTTTGTACGTTGGACTAACAGGAAGGTTTGGGATGGTCACAGCAGCGGTGTGAACTACAACCGAGTCATCCCCAAAGACAACGGCAGCTTCAAGTCCACGGCCAAGATGTTTCGTGACGAGAAGAGACAAGCACCAGTACCATTTTATCCTGCTCCTACCGGCTCGGATATGCTTGTTATCGATGGTCTTGGGAACAACCTCAAACTTCTCTCACAACAAAAGGGCCAAGCAGTCAGTCAGTATAATTATTATACCTATCGGGAACCCCGTAAGCAACCCCCCCCCCCCCAAACAGGCGATATCATAGCCTTTATGGAACCCTTTCAACTCTCAACTCGATCATTGAGGAAGAAAGAAAAGGCTAGGCTAACTCAGAAACCCCAGGTGGCAAGGATACATGGATTTTCGTAATCGACTCAGGTTTCTACCTTTCCCATGTGGTATGTTTCTAACCACTCAGTGGGGAGTTTCGCTCCCTTCCTGCCCCATCATGTTGAGGGAGATAACGCTACAACAGTTGCTATATAGAAACTAACATGGATGGTTAATAGGAGCTCGCCGCCAATGACCGACAAATCAAGACCTATGTCGTTCCCAACGTTTTCAGTCTAGCGAAATTGACATCTGAGGAGGTTGCCCAGGGCTGGGTCGCCAATGAGGAGAAAATTGACGACGACTACATAGTAGGAGGACACGGCACTGCAATGGCTTGTGTTGCAGGTGGACAAAAGTTCGGCGTTGCCGCTGATGCGAATCTTTACCTGATCAAACTGACCAACTACGTCAAGAACCAATACACCCAGGAGAAAGAGATGATGCCATGCAGTCCAGAGACTATCAACCATGCATTTGAGACGGTCTGGGACGCATTCGAATCCGGTGTCGCCGATCCTACCAAAAGTGTCATCAACATCAGCTTCGGCAAGTATCATCCCATAGTTCGATCATCGGAGTCAATTAAACTAACAGGCTATAATAAGATCATCCAAAGGGCGAAGAACTTTCAGCAATGTGGTCGAAGTGGATAGACAAGTTTGATGAAAAGGGCGCGACCATTGTCTGTGCTGCGGGAAACAAGGGGTATGACGAGAACACGGGGCTCCCCTCCTTCTACATGGCAGACACCCTTCCACAGTCACTTGCGACTGACAACAGCCCGCTCATTGCTGTCGGAGGCACCTATTTTGACGGCTCCCTCTGGGAGGGGAGCACTCCGTCTGGTGCATCGCCTGGAGAACCGTCTTCCGATGCCAAGGTCTCTCTGTATGCCCAAGCCG